AACCATAAAAGCCCTAGAAGAAAACCTAGACAATACCATTCAGGACATAGGCATGGGCAAAGACTTCATGACTAAAACACCAAAAGTAATTGCAACACAAGCCAAAATTGACAAATGGGATCTAATAAAATGAAAGAACTTCTGCACAGCAAAAGAAACTATCATCAGCGTGAACGGACAACCTACAGAACGGGAGAACATTTTTGCAATCTATCCATCTGACAAAGGGCTAATATCCAGAATCTACGAGGAATTTAAACAAATTTACAAGAGAAAAACAACTCCATCAAAAAAGGGAGCAAAAGATATAAACTGACACTTCTCAAAAGAAGACATTTACGCAGCCAACAAACATATGAAAAAAAGCTCATCATCACCGGTTATTAGAGAAATGCAAATCAAAGCCTCCTGAATATTAAAGTGATATCCTGTAAACAACAGAGAAACAGTCAGAGTTCAGCCTCTCCCAGGGATCCTGCTGGCAGATACTGATGCCATATTCTCCCTTGTATTGTTAGAGGGCAGCAAGATAAGAGAGTGATAGTTTCCAGTGGAATCTTGCAGCCTCAGCCTCCCTTCCTACTCCTGACCTCCTCCTCGTCAGAAGAAAACTTCAGTGTAGTGTAAAGTCTCCCTCAAATCCACCTGCAATGAGGTTCCACTTGTCATTGCTTTCTTTGGAGATGAACCCCGTACGATGGTGACCATGAATATTGAAACGCTTCCTTTGAGATGGCTGAACCCACATGAGAACAGTGATCCCCAGGAAGCATGCATGGTTTTAGCATGGAGGAGGGGGTGGTGAAGGAACAGAGTTGGGATGCCTTTTGTAAGCTTCGGCTCTATCTAGGGAAGGAAATGTATAAACATTTTCCTTTCCATCACTGTTCACTTCAGAGAAGCATGATGTAGTTATTGGAGACAAGATGCAGGAGCTCAAGCTCCAGGGAAATAACAGAAAAATGATTTTCAAGACTGAATGGTCAGTAAGCATTTAGAAGATCATACTGGAGGAAGAAAACCTCCCTGGAAATACAACTAATGAAGACTATTTAAACATAAAATTTGGAGCATTAGCGATTGCCAGGGTGAAAATGCCATGCATTTAATGTTATACACCCCAAGTCAAGGACACAATTATTGCAGCAGAATTTTGAGGGGAAAACTAGCTTTGGACATGGACTCTATGTCACTTAGAGGAAAAGGACAAGTGGCTAATGTACAACGTATGTGAAACAAAACTTACAGAATAATAAAGATGTTATTTCTTCCAGCTACTTTTGGCTAAGAGTTTTAAAAATGTTTACTGAGAAAAAGTGGAGAATGTACAAACACCATACTACACAGGAGGTGCAGGTGAAGGAAGCATGTGTGTGTGAATGTCTGTGTGTGTGCATGAGTGTGTATGTGTGAGTGTGCAAATATGTGAGCACATGTGTGAATTGTGAAAGTGTGAATGCATGTGTGAGTGTATACGCATATGTGAATATACATATGTGTGAATGCATACATGAGTGTATGTATGTGAGTGTATGAATGTGTGTAAATGTGTGTCTGTATCGATGTATGTGAAAGGAGGCATGTAAATGTGAATGTATGAATGTGTGTATGTGAATGTGTAACTGTGAATGTTTATGTGTGTCAATGGGTGTATGAATGGGTGTCTGTGTGAGAATGTGTGTGTGCATGCTTGTGGGTGTGAAAATGTGTGAGTGTGAATGTTTGTGAGTGCATATAAAAATGACTGTGATGTGTCAATAAGTGTATGAGTGTGTCAATAAGTGTATAAGTGGACGAGTGTATAAATACATGTGTATCTATGCATGCAGAAGCCACATTTCATTTCCTCTCTCTGTTCCCCGGTACTTGTGATGATTCTGACTGGCCTCCCCCTACACTGATGCGATAAAATCTAATCGCCACATTGGTGGGTGTTTATCAGGCAGGGATTTGAGGGAAAGAGGCAAACAGCCTTCTGGCTCAGGTCATGTGCTTCCATCTGCGTTCTCCCAGGAGATCTGACTTTGAAGCTGATTGGGCATTTCCCAGTTTTGTGAGGGTGCTGGCACTTTGTTTACTGCTGGTCTCTTGTCCCCCTGTGAACAGACCCCTGGCTATCACTCTAAGAAGGAAGATGAATGAGTGTAGATCCAGGCACCCAAGCACTAGCCCAAAACCCTAAATGATATAAAAAAATAAGGACGTTCCAACAGTCACAAACTGATAGGCAAATCGACAACGATAGTTTGAAGGGGAAGATTAAAACAGTTTGTCTTTTAATAAAATGTTTTACATGTATATGAAATATATTATATATCTATATATAGTTTATGTAATATATATAATATTTATACAAAAAAAAATATATATATATATTTTTTACTCCTTCACACTTTTGCCTGATCTGTCTGATTTGGAATACCCAAAACAATTGTAAAACAATTCATTCTAGTATTGAGTTTATGCAAATTCCTGAAATAATCAATATTGTTAATGTGAGGTCTAACATGGAAGTGCACAATCAGAAGCACTGCTGATTTGTAAGCAATAAAATCTGTTTGTAGCTTGGTTTTGTTTATTGAAAAGAAGATAACTTGAGTACAAGGAATCTAAGAGGGAATGTGCACTTATTTGGCTCTTCTGTTTGTCGCTGAACAGTAGGCAACAATTGACTGGCTAATCTTACTCTCTTTTCATGCCTAGTGTCAGGGTAGCACATCAAATTAATTTTAAGGTGGCCTGATAAGATGTGAGTCACTCAACGTTTTGGTGCCAAATTGGTTTTTCAAGCTAGCTAGTTTCCAGAGGAGTCTTTACCATATTTACAACCAGCATTAGCTCTTTCTCAGCAGGTTGGAATAAAGTTTGTGCATTTATGCTTTAGCGACTTTAATGACATTTAGGATCCAGTTGGGATCTAAGAGGGTCCTCCTGGTTTGCTTTCCTGCTGGTTTCATGCCCAAAACAACTTCCGGTGACATCAGGCAATGATTTTTCCAGTGCGGGCTTTGCTTTAGACATTTCGACAATCGCATGCTTTCCTACTTTGACCACATTACGTAATCTCATAGCATCATATCTAGAACAATTTTTAAATGTCTTGCTGATCTTCAGCAATAGATTCAGAGCTAAGACAGCTACGTATTTGTTGAGTAATAAAAGGAAAAGTTTAGTAAGAAATAGCTCCTACCATTAAAACTTAGAAATAATGACATATGACCTAACATTAATGAGTCAATCACTGTTTTATTAGGAATCTATGATGGACAGGGCACTATTGTAGGTACTGAGGAATAGGCAGCAAGCCAGAAACGTGCCCTTGTAATAGAGCACAGTCCAGCTAGCGGAGTGTCCGTTGGGCAACTTTAATCCCTCAGTTATCTGAAACAAAAACAAAACAACAAAAAACTCCTCTTCGAATTTAGTATTCTTACTTATTTCTTGAAAACCATATCTCAGATTATAAACAATACCTATAGTTCCAGGGAAAAGCATATTCGGCAGAAAGCCCAAGATTAGCTGGAAGCTCAAGATCTCTGGAATCTGAGTTAGGCGTACGTTTGCACTGTAAATGGCCATGTTACACATTCAACTTTTACTTCTTAACTGAGTAATTATTTTTTGAATATAAATAATAAAATTGAGATTCTGATACCTAGTGATATTCTGGCCTTAAAGCCAAAATCAGTATAATTATAAGAGATAATAAGGTATTGCACTACCTGTGTTCCCTCAGTCCCTGAATATATTCACATCTCTTTACGCAAACTGTGCTTGGAAATCACTCAGTTCGGACTAAAGGTTGGGGTACACTGAGTGGAGGTGAGAGTACACTGTGCGGACATAGGGGTACACTGAGCAGAGGTGGGGGTACATTGAGCCAAGGTAGGGGTACACTGAGTGGAGGTGGGGTACACTGAGCAGAGGTAGGGGTTCATTGAGCAGAGGTGGAGGTACACTGAGCAGAGGTGGGGGTACACTGAGCAGAGGTAGGTGTACACTGAGTGGAGGTGGGGGTACATTGAGCGGAGGTGGGGATACACTGAGTGGAGGTGGGGGTACATTGAGCAGAGGTGGGGGTACACTGAGCAGAGGTGGGGGTACACTGAGCAGAGGTGGGGGGGTACATTGAGCAGAGGTAGGGGTTCATTGAGCGGAGGTGGAGGTACACTGAGCGGAGGTGGGGGTACACTGAGCGGAGGTGGGGGTACACTGAGCAGAGGTGGGGTACACTGAGCGGAGGTGGGGGTACACTGAGTGGAGGTGGGGGTACACTGAGCGGAGGTGGGGGTACACTGAGCGGAGGTGGGGGCACATTGAGCAGAGGTGGGGATGGTGGGAACCAAGGTAGTTGCTAGGACAGTGTGGATATCTGGACCTGCGATTTTTCTTGAAAAGGGTTTCCAAAAATAATCCAATTATAGAAATTACCTCCCTCCCTCTCTCTCTTCTTTCCTATGAAGGTTTTCTATTACCTGTACAAGTTGTATTACAATTTTTTAGGGGGGTTTCTAATTTCTAATTTTCCAATTACATATTTTTTAAGGCAAAAGATTGGTTGAGCAGGAAAGAAAAATCTAGAAATGGGCAATTTCTTATAGACAAAACTAGGTGGGTAATGATACATTTAAGTATCTTCCTTCTCAATTCTCAATTCAACATGATTAACTTTGTTGGCATATGTTTATAATAGTTATAGCATTCTACTACTTAATTACTAGAGATAAGATTTACTTAGAAGTATTACACTGTATTTACAGATGAAGATATTTTAAAATTACATTTATCAAGTGACCAATTTCTTTCAGATATTAGTCAACCTGTCTACTGATACCACTGTGTTTTACTGTTTTCCAATGACACTGAGCTCTCATAGAGAACTTGGGGGACCTGTAGTTAGGAGCCCTGGCTATGAGTCCACTACCTTAAAATCTCCCACGACTGTGGCTCTGGCAAGCTCTGAACTTCCCTCTCTGATCTTGAGCCTCCTTATCTATAAGATGGAAAACATAATGTCACATTTTGTATGGTTATTGTTAGAATCAAAATTAATTCAGCTAAAAAAGTGGTCATCTTAAAACACATCTTATAGTGTTTGGAATAATTTGAAATATTCTACTGAGAAGTAGCCTTTAGGATAAGTGGAAGTGCTTGTTTTCTTTTATTTTTAATAAAATGATTGCTAGTGTTTGGAACATATATATCAGAAGGTGTAACTCATAGTTGATGTATTTTTATGTTAGCATAGGCTACCAGTGATTTCCGAATTCTCTGAGGCATAGAAGAGGCATTATGGCACATCTTAAATTATTGCTGTAATTTGTATAGTGCTAAATAATGTTCTTCAATTTTAAAAGTTTTATGTGTACTCAGAATAGCCTCGACCCTTCACATTTTTGTAAGACCTTGGGGAAACACCTGTTACCAGAACTAACAGATCTTTGCAATTTGGAATGGTAATCACACTCAAAAATATACCTCAATAAAATATATGTGGATTACATAAACATTATTTATCAAACTTAATAAAATACGAAAGTACAATTGCACACTTTAAATGCTAAATATTAAGAAATTCCTAAAAGGCCCACAGTTACAATGTTTACAAAGCCTTTTCTGACCATCCCATCTAGAGTGTCACCACCCCCACATTACCTCGTTTTAATTTTCTCATAGCAATTAATGTTTTTTGGAATTATACTTTGCCTTGATTAAATAAATAGCATTTCCCACTCCCCAACACTTAACATTCCACAATACCACAGGCCTTTACTTTTGTTCCTAGTCATATCCCAGCATTGAAAACGGTGTCTGGCATGTAAAGGCCCCAGTCAATTTTTGACGCATGAAAGAAAAGAAAGAAGAGAAGGAGGGAGGTAGGAAGAGATTACAGTTCAAGAGAGAGCTATCAACGCAGCTATTCTCGTGAGTCTGGCTGAAGTGAAGGTAATAAATATGTTACAACTTTGGCCTTTATTATATCAGAAATTTCTACCCTATAAGAAACACTCAGGAAGTAAAATATCAGTCGTGATGGCTTTATTTCCAATAATATGTGGATAAACCAGAGCTCATTCAGAAGAAGTGTACATGTATATGTTCTCACTCATAAGTGGGAGCTAAGCTATGAGGACACAAAGGCATAAGAATGACACAGTGCACTCTGGGGACTCAGGGGGAAAGGACAGGAAGGGGGTCAGGGATAAAAGACTATAAACTGCGTTCAGTGTACACTGCTTGGGTGAGGTATGCACCAAAATCTCACAAATCACCACTGAAGAACTTACTCATGGAACCAGACACCACCTGTTCCCTGAAAACCTATGGAAATAAAAATTTTAAAAAGAAGAAATGTACATGTGGTAGCAGAAAATCACACTGGTAAGTGGACAAGGAGTTATAATAAAAAGTTTTATTGGAATATCCCCCTAAGTGAACAGTTAAAAAAGTTAAGAGTATTGTGATAATCCATGCACAAAGACTACTACTAGTAGGCCGGGCGTGGTGGCTCAAGCCTGTAATCCCAGCACTTTGGGAGGCCGAGATGGGTGGATCACGACGTCGAGAGATCGAGACCATCCCGGTCAACATGGTGAAACCCCGTCTCTACTAAAAATACAAAAAATTAGCTGGGCATGGTGGCGCGTGCCTGTAGTCCCAGCTACTCAGGAGGCTGAGGCAGGAGAATTGCCTGAACCCAGGAGGCGAAGGTTGCGGTGAGCCGAGATCGCGCCATTGCACTCCAGCCTGGGTAACAAGAGCGAAACTCTGTCTCAAAAAAAAAAAAAAAAAAAAAAAAGAGAGAGAAAAAAGAATATTACTAGTAGAATGATTCTCTTCAGTGAACTCGTCATCATCATTAAGCAGTGTGCTAGTTGCTTTGTATGCATTCCCTGCATGTGAAAAATATGTCTGTGAAAATGTCCTTAAAAAATGCAGGGACATGGGGCTGGGCGCGGTGGTTCATACCTGTAATCCCAGCACTTTGGGAGGCCGAAGCGGGTGGATCAAAGATCAGGAGTTCGAGATCAGTCTGACCAACATTGTGAAACCCCATCTCTACTAGAAATACAAAATTAGCTGGGCGTGGTGGCGCGTGCCTGTAGTCCCAGATACTCGGGAGGCTGAGGCATGAAAATTACTTGAACCTGGGACGCAGAGGTGACAGGCAACCGAGATTGTGCCACTATAATCCAGTCTGCCTGGGTGACAGAGCAAGACTCTATTAAAAAAAAAAAAAAAAAAAAATGCAGGGACACATAGTAGTGAATAGAGTGACAGTCACCTGGATTTCCACGGCACCAAACCCAGAAGGGGCTCCCAGGAACGTCCCCATTCCATCTAAGTGGTCGTTCAAAGAAGACACCCAATCTCCTAGAGGCAGATCATCTTTTATTGAATATTCTAGTTCAATTAGTCTGTAATTTGCCTCCTTTTTATAAAACCATATAGACTAGAGCAATTTCCAAATAGAGCAATCAAGAAAAAATAGTGGACATTAAATAACTGCACAAAATGCTCCATGTACTGTCAAGAGGGCTCATAGTATACTTTCAGGTAAATTTTTAATTACTTGCAAATTACAATGTTTAATTAGTTTCACAGTAATAAATGTTATGGAAGAATATGCTTTGCTGAAATTGTAATTTTATTCTGCACGTGGTATTATTGATAATGAATTTATCAAGAATTAGGCTTTCCAAGCACTATTTCCAACTGTCTAGCTTTCCAACTCTGAAATCATATTAAAAATAAATCTGTAACATCTCACAAACTCCTTAGAAAACTTGTAAGGTTTTAATTTTATCATGGTAAACAAAAGGGCCCCCATAACCTGCCATGACTTTTTATAACTATAGCATTTATCTGAGCAAGGGCAAAGCACACATTCATTAGTCCCTTGCCTATCTCTTCCCGGAACACAAAAATCATGCTTTTTTTTTCCTGACAATAGTCTGAATAGAAAGGTAAACATTACAAAAATTAAATCTCATAAAATAAGGATTAGCACACTCAAAACTAATAATATACCATGGGCTCCACATCTTTTTTGCTCTGATTTATTATTCCCAAATAATAAATTTCCGCCTTTTGCAGACAAGGTACTCTACTGGAATAATCTCAGAAAACATGTGCTAAGACTTTAAGACTATGTGAGATAGATGGAATCACAGTATCGAGGAATGTTCTGAGCCAGAGGGATCTTGAAGCCACCCTAGCCCAGCCCCTTCATTTTACTGATAATGAAATGCATCCGCAGTTATTTGGGGATTTGCCTTTGCTGCTGTTCAGTGGCAAACCCCCGCAACTCTTTGCCATTCTCTTCCTCTACAGTCCATAATGACCCTTGAAGGCATTGTCACCAGCAGCACAGAAGCCTCACTGAGCAGACGATACGCATGTCATCGTGCTTCTGTGTGAGGACAAGTGTGATGTAACGAGGAGTAATTAAAGGTACCTGCCAGTGTCACTTAGGACCTCTCTGGAATGCCGTCCTGTGTCAGCAGTCCTAGAACAGGTCTCAGGGGAATTTGGTTTTGGGTTCTAGCTCAGAGTTCAAAGAGCCTGTGTTCTTCTTTGGTAGGATTCAGCGTTGGTTTGTGATTGTGTAAAAACCCCAAAGAATTCCCCATCTACAGGAGAAACAGGGCACCCCCTGGCAGACCCTGTGTGTGTGCGTGGCGAAGGAGTTGCGTATTCCTGTAGCAGGAAGCAGGTGATGAGCCAGGGAGGAGGCCATGCTCTGCCAGCCCGGGTTGTGCCCTAGGCTGTGAGTAGGGCTCTCACCTGCATGGGGTGGGGCTGGAAGAAACGGCTGATGCCACAGCAAGGGGTCCTCTCCAGGCAGTCAGACAAAGAGTCCCCATCTTTTGTTCCTCAGGGGAGAGCCACACCCAAGGGGGAATGACTGCCGACCCCACATCTCACCACTGTGCTGCAGTGGCTGGCCTGCCATGGCTCTGGGTCTACCCAGCACCAGGGGAAGCACCACCAGGGGAAGGGCTGTCCTCACAACAATCTAAAAGATGTAATTATGTCTCTTAGGTAGGTCTTGTTCCGTTTTAAAGAGACAAAACTGAGGTCAAAAAGGCTGATGGTCACTCCACTAATAGGGGAAAAAAAGCAGGATTTAAAACCAGGACTGTCCAACTTGAAAGCCCATTTGCCTTTCTGGGTGGCGTACACCCTGGTATCCTATCCCATTCACCAAGGCCAGGTGCAAAGATATCTCTGTCGCCTGTTCAAAGGTGCCTGAAAACCCTTTGAAACAAACCTCATTGTATTGAGAGAGCCAGCAAAGGGTCTAGAATAAGAAAAGTCACCTTGAAGGGTAAACGGCGCCTGCAATACGAAGCTAAGCTTTATTCTCTCCATTTTATTGATGAGAATAGTGAGGCTCTGAAAGTTCTGAGAACTGTCCGACAGCCAACAGCAAAGTAATGGGTTATACAGAAAAGAATTAAACCAACGTCGGCCTGGCTCCAGACCAGGTTCTTTCCCTCTACGTCGCTGCCTTCTAGGACGAGGGCTCCTTAGAGAACCCTCTTCTCTTGCTGCACTAAACTGGGCCTGTTCTGACTAGGAGATGTTCCCAGGACCCTAGAGGGTTGCCACCTGGTTCATCAAGGTGTGCCTGTGTCACAGGGAGAAAATATTATTTTAAAATCTCAATCCGATTTGGGCCAGTTGTTGGAGGAGAACTGCATTTCTCTTGTGGATAGTTCTTTCTGTTTGGAAAATACCTCAATGTGCATTTTAATAAGGCAAAGATGGCGGGCCTTTTGAATAGTCTGGGAGGGGAGAGAGGAGAGTCCCCTAGCCCTGCATAATGAAGAGGAGGCTGAAGCGGGCTCCGAGGTAGGGACCCTGGAGGAGAAGCCAGCACATCCCTGCAGGAAGCCAGGGTGCAGGGAACGAAGACCACTGTGCTTGCCACAGTGATGTCCAAGAATTCTCACATCTGTTCCCAGAACTGTGGAGGCAGAAATGGCAACAGGGATGGAGAGCTATCCAAGAAGGTTCCACAGCAAGAGTTTAGAGTCAAGTCAAAATTGGAATAAAACAAAACCCCAAATAACAGAACACAAGGTAGGGTCCTGAGGCTTCTCAGGAAGGATGAGTTCCAGCTGTTTTTCTTTTTTAATTTGAGATGGAGTCTTGCTCTGTTGCCAAGGCTGGAGTGCAATGGTGCGATGTAGCTCACCTCAACCTCCACCTCCTGGGTTGAAGTGATTCTCCTGTCTCAGCCTCCCGAGTAGCTGGATTACAGGTGTGCACCACTACATCCAGTTAGTTTTGTATTTTTAGTATAGATGGGGTTTCTCCATGTTGGCCAAGCTGGTCTTGAACTCCCGACATCTGGTGATCCGCCCGCCTCCACCTCCCAAAGTGCTGGGATTAGAGGCACGAGCCACGGCACCCGGCCCTCAGGCTGTTTTAATTGGGTGCCAAGGTCAGTGGGCTAGAGGACTGGGGAGCATTCGGGTGACACTTGTCAGGGACAATAGCACATTTGGTAGTGAGCCACTGGCAAAGGTAACTTCACAGTGGAAGCAGGACAAGGAGATGAGACTTATTGCCCAGTCTTTCCCCCTGTGGACCCTGGTTATCAGCTAAGCATCACTTATATTTATTATTTACCATGCAACATATATTTATCCATGCCTATCATGGACAAACCCTGAGACAAAGAAGCACAGAGGAAGCACCCCTTGAGTTCAGTCAAGAGAAATGCTTGGCTTTCCTGAGGCACGGACTGACTACCTTTAATCAAACGTGCACAGTGGAGCTTGTCCAGTTTCCTGTCATGAACGGCTCTGGTATCTTGGTTCGGCTGGGTACAGGTTGCTTTTCTTAGCATGACTCCTCTGATAGAATTCTCTTTGTCCACTCTGCTTTCTTTGCTGTTTACCTTTTATTGTAGCTGTGCCTTTTAAGTTCCCTCAAACTGTTTCTGGAAGTGGGAAGGTCAGGAACTAGTTGAAATAGGGGAATTGGAACTCAGCATTCTAGTTTAGAGACTTCTTCTGTGTATTTGGTAAACCTCTCCTGAAATGAACATGGAATAATGGAGTATCTGAAGTTGCAAATTCTGAAGCACAGAGAAAGGAAGAAGTGATAGCAAAAGACCGAGGTCTATGGCTGGCAGGGTTTCTGTGTCAGGAAGGGTAGTACCCGGCACGTCGGTGTTGCCAGGCTTTATCCATAAATGCTACAATAAAGAGTGACTGGAGAAGAGTGGGGTTGGTTGCAAAGCTCTCAAAGACTTGTTTTTAGAAGATTTCTGGAAAAGAGATGGGTGACCACAGGGCTGAGGGGAGATTAGTTGGTAAAGACTGGAAGGGCGGGACTCTATACGCCGCATTCAATAAGTGTGTAGTTTCCCTTAAAATTATTTTAAATGAGCAGTTTCTCTCATCAAAAGTATCACCCCTATTTTTCTCCCAGAAGTATTTTTCATCTCTCACTCATGCATTTGTTAATCCATTTGATTAATTACAATGTTCCAGTAAAAATGAGTCTGGGTTCATTTAATTTCTTGGTTTTCAGAGTAATAACTAGGAAATCAATTCTGCTTCAATCTTTCATTGCTGAAGATATTCTCAATATCTATTGGCTTAGTTTTTCACCCTAGCAAATAACATATTTAATATTTCTGTAGTATTTCTTTCATGCATCAGAAAACACTGATATCTCTGATTCATCATTTTAAATAAATCATAACTATGTAGGTTTGTAATGTGAACACATAGCTAGCTATTTATTGACCCTAGAACTAACCTTGAAGGCTGATTTTTAAAACAAATCTTTGCTATCTTGTTTGTTTTCCAGTGATTTCAAGCTCTCAAAGTAGAGCAAAAAGAAAAAAAACCTAGTTAATTAAAGGTTCTATTTAGCTATGTTCCAGTTAATTTGAGCCTTTCTGAATGCTAATTGCATGAGGCAAGTTAAATTTATTCTGGAGAAGATAAGTCTTTTGTAAAATAAATTCAAGGAGTTCTTAGTTTTCAAGAAGTATAAAGTAGACTTTTAAATAATTTAAGTTATATGTGATGTTCTTAAACATTTTCAGGATCATACGGCAGAGTTTAGTGGAATTATAAATCTGAATAGCTACCGTCTAAGCTTTTTAAAATCTTCCTTGGAAAGTTTAAAATGAATCAATATAGTTGAAATTTAATATATACATTAAAAGGAATCCTGTTTCAATGTGAAGCACTCAGATTAATCTGCAGTAAGAAGGCTTACTGTAAATTACATTAACATGCTGTATCCCTATATCCAAAACTGTAGGTAACAGAGCAAGGCTATCATATTTAGTGGAAATATATCATTTTCTCAATATACTCGTGTACATTAATAATTAAACTTCTTAATTTTGTGGGAGCCAAGGCGGATTGCATATGTAGCCCACAATTTTATATCTCAAATAGCATTCAGACCAGAGCAGCTGTGAGGTCTTAAATAACCAGTATATGTCAATTATTGGTGAGAGCTGCAGTCCAGAGCAAGAATTTGGCCGTTTTCCTAGGTTTCTTGAGGTTTTATACTGTCCTAGAGGGAGTATATTACACATGTTCACAAATGTTCAGTTAACATTTAGTAATTGGTAAAAGATTCACTCGAGGTTCTGCAAACTCGGAACAGCTATAGATCATTCTCCTAACAATTACTATGTAAGTCTAAAGGCATTTCTACCCAATTCTTTGGTTAAAAGAATATTCTTTGGACAGGAAATGAAACAAAACATAATAGCACATACTTTATAGATCAGTTTTAGGAGAACAATAAAATAATATATGAAACTTGCCCACAACAAACATCTAGTATATGTAGTCAGTATCAGCAGAGGTGTAGGAGTAATCAGAGGCAGAGAAGTCTCCTCTCTACAATGAAGTCTTCCCCAGAAATGATTTTCCAACCAACTAAAGTATTCTTGGGCTTAAATGCCAACACTTGTAGAGACTGAAAGTTTACTTTAGTGAAAATTAAATATTCTAAAATACATACAAAACAGTTCATTTAAACATGAAAGCAAGGGCTTAGAACAAAAGGAAGCATTTTGAGGTTTTCAGAATCTTGAGTCCCTTTTCTCATGAAGATTGATGGATGGACAAATAGGCAGAAAGAACATCTGTCCTCAATCTGGTTTTACATGTGTTTGCCTATCATTAAACTCCTAGGATTAACAGGATGCTAGGTGCTACGTATGAGCACCTAGACTAAGGCCTGGCACATGGGCGGTCATCAAGCACATACGGAATGAATAAGTCTGTATTTGTTTATCCTCGAGTTATTTTTCCAGCGCTACTCTGTGGCTATAATAAAATAATTTTAAAGAATATTTTTCATGTCAAATTATGATATTATGGACATGAAGCCTCAAACTATGGATAACTGGCAGTCAGAAATTTTGAAATATAAATATTTCTATTCAAGCAGCATGGGTAAGGACAATAAAATGTCAACAGGGACCACACCACACAGTTTAGAGGGAGAAGAGCTTGAAAAGGTAATTACTGGATGGTGAGATTTAGAAATAATTAGACTGTCACTGGGATTCAGTGAGTAGAGGAGTTCTGTGTCTTCCCATAAAACTGAGAGGATGGAAAGTTCCTTGGCTCCGTAGAGAAAATAGATGCATCAAAGGACATATTAGAAAGGAAAGAGTGCAGGAAGCAAAGAAGGAGAAAAAGCAATGGAAGGCCTCAAAATAATGATCATGTAGAGTAAAAAATATAAAAGAAAATGAAGCAGAAAGGTAAAAGTATTTGAAATGAAACAATTTTGTAACATTAAATAGGTAGGAATGAGAGCATAACAATTTATTCAGACCTATATTCAAATCTTGGCTTTATCTGTTTATTACCTCTGTGACCTTAGGCAAATTAAGTAATCTCTCTGAGTCTATAGTTCCTTACTTATTAAATAACACACACATACGACATTGAAGTTTTAAGGATTGAATGAAATAACGACATGAAAGTAGCCTGCTGCGCCACAGCATCGATGCTCTGTAAATGTGAACCTTTTGCTCGTTGCACAAGCGTGGTTTTGAGTTTAAACCTGGGTTACCCCACCGCTCAGTTGTACCCAGCCTGTGGCTCAGTGTCCACTATGCAACGCCATCCTCTTTTGTTTGGTTGTAAAGGAGACAAGTTTACTTTTTAGGGAAGAAAAATAGATGCATTTTGCCCACATGTTCTCCAACACTCTTACAAATAGTAACAAGGTGTTCTGAAATATACCAGTGACAACCTAAGGCTTGCATTCTCTTCAAAGCTCAGCACTGCTGATGGTGTTACACGTCACTCACTGTGCTAGAGGGACTCGAAACTTTTCTAGCCCAACTCTCTGGTTTTACAAATGGGGGAAACCAAGACCCAGGTAAGTGATGTTTATGCATGTAGTAATTTGATGACGTGCTCAACAAATCCCAGTTGAGCACATGCCCCCCAGGAGGCACGGTCCTAAACAAGAATGCAGGCGGACAGCTAAAGCCCAGGGCCCACCTTCAGGGCCTGCGGATGTCACAGGTGCGGGGCCCTGGAGTGGGCTGGGGCCCAGGCTTTTTCCACCGTGTACTGAGTAGATTCTGGATGTGTTTAAGCCTGTTTTTACTTACGACATAGACTTGGGATAAACAGGACAAACATGGGCCCCAAATTTCCTGTTAATCACTGATCTGCTGAGAGTACCAAGAGTCAACGATTTCACATTAATTTCCAAGCAAAATCTAACCCAGGCAAAAAGGCATAGAGGCCTCTGCAGGGCCTGATTCGAGAGGAGACCAGCTCTGAAGCTCACACCAGCCAGTCTGCACAAGCAGCAGAGAGAAATGCCTTGCAGCCTGGGATGCGATGACACTTCCCCAAAGTGGCTCTCTTCATCGCAGCACGTGCTTTGTGTGTCTTACTCTAGGGTTTACAGCTTTGCTTTATTGATGAAGGTTGAGAAATGTACCTCAAAGCAGACAAACAAGCTTTTCCATTTATATGGAGTGACTTCCTGCGCTAGTCCTGGATCTTTGCTCTTTGAGTCCGGAATACGTGGACACTCCCAGTTTATAAAGACGGCTCTGTGGCCACCTTGACATGGCACATTAACATGAAATTCTGCTTCCAGTACAACTTAGATGTTACGGGGACTTGCAGCCTTTCTTGCATGCCTAGCTCCAACTGTTTCTTCCTAAACACCTCCCCGTTGCCTTTTCAGGCATCTCCTTCCTCCTGTTGTATAAAGTATTGAGGGAGTAAACAAAGACACTTCTCCTCTCCCCCACCACAGAGGACACAGGGGTTCTCAAGAGGTTCAGCCAGCGCTGCCCTCTCACTTCCCAATATAATGACACGACTGGAGCTTTGCCTGTCTTTCTCCTTCACTCCTATAATCCTGAGTCTCGTGAAAGTTGGTACAAGGGAGAAAAATGGAGTTCGTTCCCAAGATCCTCTTGGGCTACCTGAATCCCGCCGCCTTTGATTTTTGAGATGGAGTCTCATTCTGTCACTGGGCTGGAGTACAGTGGCATAATCTCGGTTCACTGCAATCTCCACCTTCCGTGTTCAAGTGATTCTCTTGCCTCAGCCTCCCGAGCAGCTGGGATTACAAGCACACACCATTACACCCAGCTAATTTTTGTATTTTTAGTAGAGACGGGGTTTCACTATGTTGGCCAGGATGGTCTTGATCTTCTGTCCTCATGACCCACCTGCCTCGGCCTCCCAAAGTGCTGGGATTACAGGCGTGAGCCAACATGCCCAGCCCCACCTTCTAAATCTTGAAATACCTACCAAACTTTTGAGCCACCTCCTCAATCCACTGAGTACCCCAGCTTCTTTCCAACCAATGTGGTCAAGCAAGACAGAGAAGGGTTCTGTCGCATAAAACCAGTATCACAGCTGATACAGAAAGTCAAGACCCTAGCAGATACAGAAATACTGAAACCTTAGCACATACAGAAATACTGAGACCCTAGCAGATACAGAATACCCAGGCCCTAGCAGATACAGAAATATCCAGACCCTGGCAGATACAGAAATATCCAGACCCTGGCAGATGCAGAAATATCCAGACCCTGGCAGATACAGAAATACCCAGACCCTGGCGGATACAGAAATACCCAGATCCTAACATAAACAGAAATACCCAGACCCTGGCAGATACAGAAATACTCAGACCCTGGCAGATACAGAAATACCCAGACCCTGGAGGATACAGAAATACCCAGACCCTAATGGAAACAGAAATACCCAGACCCTGGCAGATACAGAAATAGCCAGACCCTGGCAGATACAGAAATACCCAGACCCTGGCAGATACAGAAATACCCCTCTGTGCAGACTCCCACAGCAGTATGTCAGTGTGACAAGTCATAACCTATGAACCAATATAAGAGGAACTTTAGAGAGCTTTGCAACAGAGATCTAAAGTGATTTCACCAACAATTACTATGAGCAAATCTTTAAGAGATTCAATAAGAGATTTATCCAACAGTTAAGCACCCAGGACTTTCTGCCAGCACCTCTGCATCTCCACAATGCGAAGGAAATAGGTGCCAATAATGGGCGGCAGGTGGGGAGGGGGATGGATGTGGGTTTTGCTCGGAGCTTCCACGTTCCCTCTGTGGGGAGGGGGTGGATGTGGGTTTTGCTCGGAGCGTCCACGTTCCCTCTGTGGGGAGGGGGTGGATGTGGGTTTTGCTCGGAGCGTCCACGTTCCCTCTGTGGGGAGGGGGTGGATGTGGGTTTTGCTCGGAGCTTCCACGTTCCCTCTGTGGGGAGGGGGTGGATGTGGGTTTTGCTCGGAGCGTCCACGTTCCCTCTGTGGGGAGGGGGTGGATGTGGGTTTTGCTTGGAGCGTCCACGTTCCCTCTGTGGGGCTCCTTGCATTCACAGCTTCACTCAGGGCTTCAGCTGCTTTGACACCTGCCGTACTTTTCTTGCAGTTTTTTAATTTTGGACGTTAAAGGAAGCAATAAAAAAATTGAGGAATATAAAAGACATTGTAAGTGTACCTGTTATTGCTATGCTAACAGATCCTGAATCAAAGATGCCATATTTTGATTACTTAAATTTTATTGTATTCCCATTCTTAGAAAATTGGCAATCTTAATATTGTTAACTTTTTCTGAGGCTTGCCTGTGAGTGAAAACTGAAAACATATATTAGGCAATTGTATAAGACATCAGACCAATGGCACATTAATTTTATTAAATGGTTACCAAGAAATTCTTTTAACCCTCTCAGGTTCTACACTTTGAGCTGATTTAATCTACAGAATGCTTTGCATGTATATGAAGTTATATATTTAAATGTTCTTTGCTGCCAGCTGTGAAGGCCATAAATATTCTTCTTGCAAACAAGAAGTGCACAGCCTTCATGGAAGCAGTTTGCCTCCTTGTCCACTGTTTTTCTCCCTGATAGGCCTTGACAGCTGATTTACAGGAAGGGGCCTCACCTTATCTGCATCTGTATTGATGTGTTTGGTGAGGCTTAATTTTAACCAGGGAAAAAACGGACTTTACTCATTCTCTCAGGCAACTACCTGAATTCATCAGGTTTTTAAACCATCTTCCCTTATACTCAAAAAGGAAATTCTTTAAAGGCAGTACCAATACAAGGCCAGAGTAATTACTCACTCGGAGCCTCTGTAACTTGCTTAGGGAAAATAATCATGGCTTTCTCTTCCACGACATACAGCAAAGCATTTCCAATGTAATCCTTTGATAAAAATTTACAAATTAGCAACAATATATTGACCAATCAGGAATTTGAGAGAAACCATTCAATATTAAATCTCAACTTATTAAAGCAAAGGCTTTATCCTGTCAAATCCTAGAAAATCTATATAATAAAATAATAGCCATAATGATTTTAACTACACACATTGCAGACCAAAGACTCCAGACCGCTCGCTAAATAGAAACAGGAATAATTCAACATGGCGAGTGGGACTCAAGTTTACTTTGCTCTTAGGCCACCAAGTTGGCATGTTCTGCCAGACAGCTCATTTCTGAAGAATTAAAACAAGACTCTAAAACTCCTGTTTTTCTGCACCATTTTTATCTGTCTTCAGTATATATAAAATCCATTTGGTGAAAACTACGAGAAGAGGCCTTTGAACTTTAAATTACTCAATTTTAGAGAAATGAAATACACAACTGCACAGATACATAGGTTGTGGAATTATTTCTTCCCTTGTTACAAGAATGTTTTCTTCAGTGATCCTCCTAGGAAAACTAATAACTTTAATATTTGTTTCCCTTTATGGATGATGTAAATTCGTTAAAATAAAAAAGATCTATATAAAAACTGGTCTTTTTGTGTGTCTTCCTTCTCTCCCCTCCCCCACCCCCGCTTCCCTGCTATACCCATTTTTTTTAGAAAGTATAACAGTCAAAGTTGTAAAATCCATTACTCTTGTAGGGGAGGAAAAAATAATACCTTTTCCTCACCAACTACAAGAGTCATGGCTGAGACTTCTGTAAGAGAAGGTGGATTCACAAGGACAAAGCATAACAAATGTGTATAACAAAAGTTTTCTGTGATACAGCAAGGTGCCTTCTGAAATGAAGACCCAAAGATCCAGGACAAACTACGTAATTTTTTGAGTAGAAGTTCCAGGAACAATGTATGTTGTACAGAAATGTGACTGGACGAAAAGGGGGTATGACTAATGCACTAAACTGGGGGACTCTGCAAGGCCTGTTTGTTTAGCTTCTTCTTGGCCCTTCTGTGCAGAGCAGGTCACCCATCACTTGAGGGTCTGCAGGGCAGAAAGGAGAAGGTCAGAAAGTGACCTTTCTAGCTTTCATGGTCTGCTTTGGCAAGGACAAATTTTGTTTTTTATGAACCTTCCTGAGGGAGAAAGGAAGGTGGAGAAAAGGAGGGAGGGAGAAGGTGAGAGAGTGACCTCCGAGGTGCTGTATTGTGGGGTAGGGTGTTCCGAGCCCTGATACTCCTCAGTCAAATGTGTGCTGAGTTGAATTTCTAGCCATGCTAATTCAATTAGGAAAAGGTAGTTCCTTCGGGTTCATATATAAAAACCAAATAAGTTAAAAATAACAAAACTTCTCAGATAGTTGGGGAGATTTCATTCTTTTAGACATTTAAAAGCAATTGAAGATTGATGCATTTAAAGCAATGATTAGATGTTTTTATTGCTGTGCACTTCCTGCAACAACTCTGCCCATTTATTAGTCTATTTTTAGGTGAGAGAACAAGGTACAAAAATGGCAAACAGGAAAACAGACAAGCGAAACTTCAAACATCTGCTAAAAAAAAATGATACAGAGGCATAAGTTCCTTTGTCATAATTGTGCCTTCATGGAGGTCTCCAATTATTTAAAATAGAATATTTTTTAGGCTCAGCGCATGATACCCCAAAATATAGCACCTTTGTGTACCATTTTAAGCTCAAGAATATTGAAAATGCCGCAGAAGCAGGAGGGTCTCTGTGACCTTCTCCTGTCTTCTGTCTTCTGAAGCAGGCCACGGAAACGAGAATTCCCTCCCCTACCTCTTTCCTGAAGCAGGCCATGACACCAGGGGAGGTCACTCTCTGACTTCCTCCCTCACTTCTTCCCTGAAGACCTCATGTGACAGGAGTCCTGCCCTGTACCAGGACGGAAGGAATGTCACTCAGTAACATGAAGACGAACCTGGGCAATCATGTCTCCTTGAGATCCCCCCAGTTTGTCCTGATCAGATCATGCCATTTCACCCTCCAATCATACTTCTGCATGCCTGTCCATAAAAGTGCACGTCTCTGTTTCTTTGGGTCTTCATTTCTGAAGGCTTCATGTCAGATAAAACCTCTATTAAATAAATGTGTTGTTTTTCTCTTGTTACTCTGTCTTTTGCTCTGGAGGGTCTCAGCCATGAATACCTTGTGATAGGTAAGGAAAACAGATTGCTTTTTCTCCCCTATAATATAGTGATATGGTTTGGCTTTGTGTCCCCACTCAAATCTCATCTTGAATTGTAATATCCAAAGGAGGACCTGGTGGGAGGTGACTGAATCATAGGGGTGGTTCCCCCATGCTGTTCTCATAATAGTGAGTGAGTTCTCATGAGATCTGATGGTTTAAAAGTGTGGCACTTCCACCTTCTCTGTCACTCTCCTGCCGCCATGGAACATGTGCCTTGCTTCCTCTTTACCTATGATTGTAAGGTTCCTGAGGCCTCCCCAGCCATGTGGAACTGTGAGTAAATTAAATCTCTTTTGTTTATAAATTATACAGTCTCTGGTAGTTCTGTATAGCAGTGTGAAAACAGACTAATTCATATAGTTACACATTATTCAAAGACTAAACACAACATTCACCAAATATTCAAGAGTCAATAGATGTCAGCACAAGGAGGGTACCAATATGGTTACTAAATTAACAGTTAATGTTTTACGGTAACTTTTCATAAAACATTTTCATGTCAGGTAACAACAAGAATGTACACACATTTATTTTTAAAAGGCTTCTGTCAAGTTGAATTAAAAGCAGGTTACAACATGATTGGCAGAACTAAGAAGACTTTGAAGCAGGTAACACAGTTGCATTTGAGTGTGGGCAACCAGAACTTATTTTATATCTTAGATCTAGTTTATTAAAGAGAACTTACATTAAAAAAAAAAAACAGAGCAAACGAATCATCTGGAGAATTCAGAGCTAAAGTGATTAATTAGACCTTATTTTGTCTTGAACAGATTTACTAAGCATTTTTCAAATAGCCACATTGTTTGTAATTACCAAAATCACACCTCCATTGGCCAGCCTGAGTTACTTCATGCACGAATGACAATCTGATGGAACACTCTTGTTAGGGTTTCATTCTTCATTGTAATTAGCCATAATCATAGCCTTCCTGGGTGCATGAGAATGTGCAAGCCACTATTCACAACCCCAACCCATTTGAATATGAATCTTCTCAGTAAGGAGCAATAAAATAGGAGAAACAAAGCAGTTTCTCTAGGGAATTTTGTAAAGCATCTCTACCCTAATTCTGCCTCCCTTCAAAATGTTCCCTCTCCAGTATCTGGACTCTATTTGCTAAAACAAGGGTGGCTTAATGAGGACAATGGCTTATTATTTCTTAAGTGACACAGGAGGGCCCAAGTATTACAGGCTTAGTTCTTTCAGTCTTTGCCAAGGACACAAGGAACAAAAGAACAAGCAACTGTGTGTGGAAAAGAGAACTCGGACTGGGCTATATTCTGTGAACTCTCAGAGCAAGATGGGGGCCTTTGCTATTCTGGAGCTCAAAGGCTGTTGCTTGCTTTCTTTCTTCTTTCCCCCCCTCTTTGCCCACCCCCCCTGCAAATGACTCAGACATTATAGAAAAAGGCTCAAAGCAGCAGGGATTGAAAACAAAGGCTTAGTGGAGGAGGGGTGACACGTCTGATCCCATCCCAAGTACATTCATAGTGAGCCACCTACTGGCAACTCGACTTTTCCTTCTGTTACTGTCTAATCACCTCACCTCTTCAGGAAAAACCTAGGTAAACACGCTGGAGTCACTCCAGATGACTTCTCAGCCAAAAATGGGAAAAACAAAATTCAGAGGAAAATAAACGTTCAGAGTAGTTGCTGCGTCTTTGGTAGAAAACTCAACCCTTCTAGCAAAACTATGGCTAAATGTCAGATGTAAAGAATTAATCAAAAGGCTGTGTCCTGCATCAAAATGTGAAAGATGATTCGAGTTAATGAAAAGAATTGACATTTGACTTATGAAGCAAAATCAACTACTCATTTAAACTAATCACATAATGTATTAAAAGTGTGGTGCTGCACTGGCTGAGGAGCTGGCACTCCTTCAAAGCCTTTACCATTTGTGTAGAGAGATTATTTTCTTAGAGATGTGCTGCTCACCGAATAAGATACTTGTTTATTTTGCTACCAGAAGATGCTCCAGGGCTGCAGGAGACTCGGGGTAATTCTCTGATCATCTCCTGGGCTCAGACCTTCATCATGTTGAAATGACTCTCCCAAGGCCACGCAGCCAGCTGAATGTATCACTGTTAATGTACCCGGGAGCAATACAATTCAGCACTTCAACTGCCATATGCCCATTGCCGTTTTAGGCCAGGTGTGGTGGCTCACGCCTGTAATCCCATCACCTTGGGAGGCTGAAGTGGGAACATTACTTGAGGCCAGAGTTCAAGACCAGACTGGGCAATATAGTAAGACCCTATCTCTACAAAAAGAATTCTTAAAAATTAGCCGGTGTGGTGGCAGTCAACTGTAGTCCCAGCTACTTGGGAGGCTGAGGTGGGAGGATCTCTTTTGATTGTAGACGTCCAAGGCTGCAGTGAGTTAAAATCGCACCCTACACTCCAGCCTGGGTGACAGAGCCAGACCAAGTCTCTAAAAATAGCAACAATAACAGCAACAAAATCAAAACTCACAGTTTTGGACCTGAACGAGGATCAGTGGCCCTCCTCATTAAGGAAGGCATGGGTGGAGATGGCCTCAGGCACTGCCTGAGAGATGAGAGGCAGAACTTGAGCCTGGGCTCCGTGAGAAGGGGGCCGTGAGTGACTAGCCACATCTGTTCATTGATGCCCAGAGAAGGCCAGTTAAATCACCTGTCTGCCCCGGAGTGTTCACTGTGCTCCAGGAACTGCTGAGTCCTATGGAGGCATCTCCAGTGGAGGAAACACGACTAAACTTCCCAGAAGCAGGGAGTTGGGGCGCTGGGAAGTTGAGGTGGGCACAAATGCCACCCGCCGGGGTGACTGCAGGTGTCTCTTCCCAGCCCCCTTGTCATAAGTTACATTCAAATTGACAGGAGAGCTGCTTCTTGGCTCTTTGCTTCTCTGGTCTCTCTATTGTTTTGTACCATACTTTGGGATTATTTTATTTTTAAAGCCATTTCAATATTTTTAAGTCCCTCACCCTGTATTTCGTCTTTCTCCATTTTTTTCTTAGAATAACAGTTTAAGACACATGCCTATGATAATTTCTTCATCAGATAATAACATATAATTTAAGATAAATTTACAATACTTACATCTCTTTGATATGCAAAAAGAAGAGCCTCTGTAAGATTAGTCATTAAACTGAAGGGGTGAAGGGCTGACAGAGGCTACTTTTCCTAAAAATTTCATCGGTGTCATAAATCACAAACAATTTTAACATGATCATTTACTGCGTTCTTATTGTAAATGAACAAAATTGTTTCAGACAGCATTTATCTGGCGGTCACATGCAACTGTAACTCCTGGGGCAAAGTCAAAACATCTTTCAATTCTACTGGTTAAACAAACACACACGCGATTTTCTTTTGTGGAACTGTGCAGGTAGAAGTCTCTGTTCCCAGCTTAATAGATCATTAGCTACCCATGGAATTCCGCAAATAAGAAATGTGTGCTTTGACCAAATTCAATCACACAAACATTATTGAATGCTTGCTATGCACAGGATACCATACACAGTTAAGAAAATAAAGATGAATACAACAAAACCATTCAATTAAAAAAAAACAGAAAGAAAATGACCTCCTTCCACCAGAATTGGCAAGTTCGTGAGAACTAAATATCTAAGGCAAATACAAAACAAAAACTGTAGTTTAAGTCAAAATAGGTGGGAGATAAATTTATAGACATACATTAGGAATATATTTCTTTCAACTGTCGACCATAAAATAGGTTAGAGTTTTTAAATGTAAATGATACTAGTGATACTAATAATAATAGTTAATATTTATACCTAGCATGGACCAAAATCTTCTAAGTTCAAGAATGTATGGTCTTATTTACTCTTCATAATAAAAAACAACCCTAGGAGGTAGACACATAGATACAGACGAGGAAACCAAGACTTAGAAAGAGGTTAAGTATTTTGCCCAAGGTTTCATAACTGGTAGTGTAACTTTTAAAAATTTTTTATTTTAGGTTTGGGGGTAGCTGTGAAGGTCTGTTACATAGATAAACACATGTCACAGGCATTCGTTGTACATACTGTTACATCACCCAGATACTAAGTTCAGTGTGCGCTGTTTTCGCCTTTGTGTTTATATGTTCTTATCATTTAGCTCACACTTATAAGTGAGAACATGGGGTATTTGGTTTTCTGTTCCTACGTTATCTGGTAGTATAGCCTTTTTTGTTTTTTTGGTTTTTTTTGAGACGGAGTTTCGCTCTTGTTACCCAGGCTGGAGTGCAATGGCGCGATCTCGGCTCACGGCAACCTCCGCCTCCTGGGTTCAGGCAATTCTCCTGCCTCAGCCTCCCGAGTAGCTGGGATTACAGGCACGCGCCACCACGCCCAGCTAATTTTTTGTATTTTTAGTAGAGACGGGGTTTCACCATGTTGACCGGGATGGTCTCGATCTCTTGACCTCGTGATCCACCCGCCTCGGCCTCCCAAAGTGCTGGGATTACAGGCGTGAGCCACCGCGCCCGGCCCTGGTAGTGTAGCTTTACGTGCATATTTCTTTCGGTCTTACTAAGGCTGTGATAAAAACAAGAAGATTGGGCACAAGGTCTGAGAACGCCACAGTTCTGTGAATAAAAAAAATGAGAAAGGATGATTCAAGGCTTATAGTAAAATATAAGGGTGGGATATCAAGAAAGCAAAACTGTATGGTAAGTCAGTCATCCAACCGGATATTGGAGGAAAAGCAAAAGACACAGAATTTTCTGCCTCATCTCCAAGGAGATCAAGCTGCTCTGGAGCAGAGATTTTCATACTGGGTACACAGAGCTCTGGCAGACAAAGGCTTTCCAAGGAGCACTCAAATGCAGATTTTAGATGATTTTAAGGGGTTCCATTTCCAGATGTGAAATTTCAGCCTACTCTTTTCTGAAATTGATCTGCTCAGGAAAGCCCCTGGTGTTCTCTTTTCTCTCCTCTCCTTTCACAATAGTTCTGCCACTTTACAAAAGAAGGAAATCTCATCCATCCCAAACCTGACAGTTCACTGTCTCTGGTTTCAAGGCCCCAGGGCACCAGGCCACAGGCTCCCTTTGAAATCATGTTGGTGACAGTGTTGAGAAGAGGAATGGCTTTGACGGCTGGGCAGCAAATCCTGTTGTAAGTCAGGCAGTTTTTAGTTTTTGGCTTTCAAGAAAATTGAAGGCAGACCCAACAGTTTATCAGTGGTGAGATCACTAAAAAGAATTATTGATTAGTGAATAGCTATGTGATTGTTGGCATATAAATCTCAGGATAAGTTCAAAGAATTGAGTCGCATTGTTAAAATTCCTTTCACTCACATCTGCTTCATTGTAACAGCTTTCTTGTGCTGACTTCTATAAAATAAAACATAGGCTCCACATTAATGCTGGACCTCATTTTATCTCTCAATAAATTAGTATTCGTCCACATGCATGGACTAATTGAAAATGAAAGCCTGGACTATCTCATTAAGAGATGAATTTCGCATAAAATGTTACTTTTATGCTTAAAAATCACCTATCAGAATTTGTAATATATCTATTGTTTTTTATGCAAGGTAAATAAATCCCTTTGTTCTCTCTACCTGCCAGGGTTCAGGACAAATTCCACAGTCCCGCAGGAGAAGGCTGGGCAGGGAGACTTGCAGGAAAAGGAGCCAGTGTGGGGCTCCCCACCCTGCAGAAGCGTGTCTCAGTCTCTCCACCTGCGCTGAGGGTCCTGCTACAGTGGGCGGCACCCTGGCCCCAGGGGTTGGGAGTGCTGGTGCCAGCTCCTTCTAGGAGTTGTCTGAGAAAGACAGACACCCAGAATTAGGGACCCTGGGCACATAGGAATATTTAAACCCCACCCTACTCTAGTCAAGCACAGTCAGTCACCAGGTCTAGGGAAGCTGATCACAGAAAACTAGATTTAATTGTAGCCCCTCTGAGAGGGAGAAGGGTCAAGCCCTGGGTTCCAGAGTCACCGTCCAGGTTTATTAGTGGACAAGCCTGCTGGTTAACAACAGGTGTTCTGAAAATTATGCATTAGTGACGTTTCTAATGACAACATTTATGCAGGATGGAGCTTTCCATCTATTCTTTCTTTCTTTCTTTCTTCCTTTTATTTTCTTCTTTCTTTTTCTTTCTTTCTTCCTTTTCTTTCTTTCTTTCATATATTTTTCACTCTTTTACATAAGATAGGTAGGTAGATAGACACCATTTCAATGTGGTGTCTATGTATAAACATACATTTTAAATATATTTAAATTCTTAAAAACTTACAGTTATGGGAAAATTTTTAATGTTTAAATTAATTTACATATTATAGAATAATCAGAATAAAAAATTACATTAGAAAACATTCTGAGAGGAGAGTGAAATGAAAATACAGTTTCAAGGGGGGAAAGAGGAACAACATAAAATTCTGTCAATTAAAAAAAGCAAATTCATGTATTTTACAAAATGACTGATGGTGGGAATCAGATCCCTGTGGTAGTAAGAACTGGCTGGATACAATTAACAGAGTGGAAAAATAGTTTTATTTTTAAATGTCAGTATTTCTATTTCACTAGAAATTACACTGCTTGCATCTATAATAAACATGACTTTTTAGACACCAAAATAAAGATTCCCTAAGAGACGACACCATGTTTCAGAATTCTTTTCGGGTACATGTGAATGAATGATTTTGAATGTCACTCCTCTAGAGAAGGGAACGTGTGTGGGAATGAAGGAGACCTCATTGTGGGGAAAGAGACAGCAGGAGCCGAGCTGGGGAAGCTATGGCCAGGGCGCAGACAGGGGGCAAGGGGACAGGAGAGCCAGGAGAGAGAGGTGGGCGTTTGTTTACCAAGTAGACCTCCCTGTGAACCGCAATCTACCAGCAGCAGCAGCAGGACACGGGTTCAGCAGGAGGCTGGCGGCAGGTGGGGCTCCGTCAGATTGCGTCCTTGTTGGGAAAAATTGAAAGGATTTTCTTCTGCTCTCACACCACCACCACCACCAGCACCACAGTCAACACAGAAGATGCTGTGGCCAAATGTGTGGGGGGATTTCCCCACTAACAGGCAAGCAATCAATTCTGCAGCAGATACCAGCTGGGTGTCCTCAGATTCAGTCCTGACACTGTCCACCTGGAGATGGCGTCCGGTCCCTCAGGCTGGCGGCTGTCTCCTCCCTCCCCCAGATACCACTTGCAAATCTCAGCCTCTGGAATTTCTGAGCAGCCAGCTTCAAGTTGGGGTTCCCTCAATTCCCTCTTTAGTGCGATTAATTTGCTAGAGTAGCTGACAGCACTCAGGGAAACACTTATGTTTACCGGTTTATTATCAAGGATATTACACAAAGTAAAGATGCAGAGATGCATAGGGCAAAGTATGGGAGTAACAGTGTGGAGCTTTCCTGCCCTCTCCAGGGGATCCACCCTCCAGGAACCTACACAGGTGGCGCTATCCCGAAGTTCCCTGGGCCCCATCCTTTTGGGAGTTTATGAAGGCTTCATTTCATAGTCACGATTGATGAAACCATTGGCCATTGGCCATCCACTTAACCTTCAGCCCCTCTCCTCCCCTCCCTAGAGGTCAGGGTCAGGCTAAAAGTTCCAACCACACTCTAGTCATGCCTTGGTCTTCCTGGTGACCGGCTCCTTTCTAAAGCTACCACTGCCATCTGTCAATTCATTTGCATACAAAAGGACATCATTTTGGAGATTCTAAGGATTTTAGGAGCTGTATGCCAGGAAATGGGCTGAAGACCAATTATATATTTCACTATATCATAGGTTAAATCTATGCCTGCCTACTCTATTGCATTAGAAAGGAAAGTCAACAAGACTCAGTACAAAGCTACACATATTTTATGAATGCAAAGAGGTTGTTTAATACTGATCCAATGAACTTTGGTTTTACTTGCACACATGAGATTAGCAGATCACAAACCATGCACGTGATTAAAGATATTATCTGTAAAATTCCCAGATAAAGTCATTGAAAGTTGCAATCAGCAAACATTTCCCCCAGGTTTTCCTGCTGCTGCTTTGTGGTTCTATTCACACGCACATTTATGGATTCTTAGCACTGAGCATGACCTTAGAAAACAGCATTTTGGGAATAGTCATGATAGAAATAGGCTACTTACAAATTTTCTATTAATGAAGTTCTAAGAAACAACATATAAACTCATGACTAGTCAAGTTGTCAGAATCCGCATTAAAATGTGAGAATATTAATTAGCTACTATTTACTGTCAAATGGTAAATGGCATGCCTTTTCTCTTTGAGCTATTTTAAATCTGTCTTAATATTTAGGTATTTCTAAAATCTAAAACTGACAAGTTATAGTCTAATTTGCCACTATAGTTTTAATAACCGCAAATACTAAATTGTAGTTTTTAATAATCTCTGTACTTTTAGAAAGATAATAAAAGTAAGTAGGTAGAGCGACTGAAGAAGAGTAAGCCTCAACATTGATACAGACCGGAACTATTATGTTATAAAGTTCTCCAATCTCAGACAAGCAAAAAAGCCTGAGCAGACCACCTGTATCAGCTGGTCATCAATTAGGGCTCTGCAGCCTTCCCCTGGGGGTGCACCATTTGGCAACCGGGTGCCCTGCCAGGGGTCGGCCTATGCACTGTGCCGCAGGGGACTTTCTCAGCAGCAGGCACTGGGAATGGGGCATGCATTCCTCACCTGAGTAGAGGAAACAGCGCGCTGACTACAGCTCAGAAGCTCGGATGCTTTCACCTTTCCTGTTCTTTTCTCTCTCCTGTCTCCATGCTTGTCTTGTTGCACATGGACTTGTCTGCTTGTGTGATGTTCCCCACTCCTTTACATGTGTGTATTAAATTAGGCTTCACGACTGTCTTAAAGGGTCCTCTTCTGTTTTTAAGCATCCTTTCGCTCTGTTCACACACCCGTATACTAAATTGCTTACACGTTCTCCAATACTGTCAGCTTCCTTGGTATTTTGGTATTGCTGTCAACAGTTTCTCTTGCCTGGAACCCTGCTTCCTCTGCCCCCAACTCTTCTCTTGTAGCTCTCTGCAAACCTTTAGTTTCCATTTGGCATCAACTCAGTTGCCAACATCTCTGTTCCAAATCCTCACTTTCCCCTCAAGTTTTTCTCTCCTTTATGCTTCCATAGACTTTGGATTTTTTTTTTTTTTTTTTTTTTTTTTTTTTAGGTGGAGTCTCGCTTGTTGCTCAGGCTGGAGTGCAAAGGTGCAATCTTGGCTCACCGCAACCTCTGCCTCCCAGGTACAAGCAATTCTCCTGCGTCAGCCTCCTGAGTACCTGAGACTACCTTTGGGAGGCCGCCTGAGTACCTGAGACTACCTTTGGGAGGCCTAGGCGGGTGGATCGCCTGAGGTCAGCAGTTCAAGACCAGCCTGACCAACATAGCACTTGGATATCTCAAGTTCTGTTCTGAACCTGTTTTTGTATACACCGACCTCACATATGCATCCTTTTCCCCAAGTCACTGAAATATAGAAGGCAAAGACAATTTCCTATGAAGTATCTGCATTTCTGACATCTAGGCCAGTGCCTGGCACATGGTGTTCATTCAGATCGCTCAGTAAGTGATTATTATCCAGCTGATTTCACATGAAATAAGCCTTAAATTACACTAAGGCAACAGAGCTACCATCCATGAATCCTAAGTAAAATCACAAAGAATGGAAATAAGGTGTTTCAAAATTTCCCTCTTCTTCATAAAAACTGGCTTAGGGAAGTCTTTGAAAGAATAAAGGTGGCTGCTACCTTAATTTCAAAGCTGGAAAGAATTCTAAGTAGTTTGATAAAGCTTTACTTGATATCTTGTCACAAAGCAAAATGCTTATAATAAGCCTATCATTGTAGATTTCTGAATCCGACTTCATCTGTTCATCTAGGAGGAGTGTACAGACCCCATGTGATATTTTGAACACGAGTCTGTCGTCCGTCCGTGCCCACCGTGGTTCACTGGTCAGAGGCTGTGTTCTTCGGGCCAGCTAGTCAGATGGACGTTCTCTTTTCCTTTCCTGATTCTGTGCCCCTCCTAAAGCTGAAGGACACATTTCAGTAAAAATTAAAGAAGTCATTGTGTTTCCTCGCCGGTGCTATTTTGGGAAAGGTGAAGTTGATCCGTTGCTCACAGCGAAAGTTAAGATTTGACTGCTTGCCAGATCCAAAGGCCTCTCCCGGGCTCCATCCCCTGCCTCCCGCCTCCTGTCCTCTCCCAGGCTCCGACCCCTGCCTCCCGCCTCCTGTCCTCTCCCCCGGGCTCCGTCCCTTGCCTCCCGCCTCCTGTCCTCCCCCAGGCTCCGACCCCTGCCTCCCGCCTCCTGTCCTCTCCCCCAGGCTCCGACCCCTGCCTCCCGCCTCCTGTCCTCTCCCCCGGGCTCCGTCCCCTGCCTCCCGCCTCCTGTCCTCTCCCCCGGGCTCCGTCCCCTGCCTCCCGCCTCCTGTCCTCTCCCCCGGGCTCCGTCCCCTGCCTCCCGCCTCCTGTCCTCTCCCCCGGGCTCCGTCCCCTGCCTCCCGCCTCCTGTCCTCCCCCGGGCTCCGTCCCCTGCCTCCCGCCTTCTGTCCTCTCCCCCGGGCTCCGTCCCCTGCCTCCCGCCTCCTGTCCTCCCCCGGGCTCCGTCCCCTGCCTCCCGCCTCCTGTCCTCTCCCCCGGGCTCCGTCCCCTGCCTCCCGCCTCCTGTCCTCTCCCCCGGGCTCCGTCCCCTGCCTCCCGCCTCCTGTCCTCCCCCGGGCTCCGTCCCCTGCCTCCCGCCTTCTGTCCTCTCCCCCGGGCTCCGTCCCCTGCCTCCCGCCTTCTGTCCTCTCCCCCGGGCTCCGACCCCTGCCTCCCGCCTCCTGTCCTCTCCCCCGGGCTCCGTCCCCTGCCTCCCGCCTCCTGTCCTCTCCCCCGGGCTCCGTCCCCTGCCTCCCGCCTCCTGTCCTCTCCCGGGCTCCGTCCCCTGCCTCCCGCCTCCTGTCCTCTCCCGGGCTCCGACCCCTGCCTCCCGCCTCCTGTCCTCTCCCCCGGGCTCCGTCCCCTGCCTCCCGCCTCCTGTCCTCTCCCGGGCTCCGTCCCCTGCCTCCCGCCTCCTGTCCTCTCCCCCGGGCTCCGTCCCCTGCCTCCCGCCTTCTGTCCTCTCCCCCGGGCTCCGACCCCTGCCTCCCGCCTCCTGTCCTCTCCCCCGGGCTCCGTCCCCTGCCTCCCGCCTCCTGTCCTCTCCCGGGCTCCGTCCCCTGCCTCCCGCCTCCTGTCCTCTCCCGGGCTCCGTCCCCTGCCTCCCGCCTCCTGTCCTCTCCCGGGCTCCGTCCCCTGCCTCCCGCCTCCTGTCCTCTCCCCCGGGCTCCGTCCCCTGCCTCCCGCCTCCTGTCCTCTCCCCCGGGCTCCGTCCCCTGCCTCCCGCCTCCTGTCCTCTCCCGGGCTCCGTCCCCTGCCTCCCGCCTCCTGTCCTCTCCCCCGGGCTCCGTCCCCTGCCTCCCGCCTTCTGTCCTCTCCCCCGGGCTCCGACCCCTGCCTCCCGCCTCCTGTCCTCTCCCCCGGGCTCCGTCCCCTGCCTCCCGCCTCCTGTCCTCTCCCGGGCTCCGTCCCCTGCCTCCCGCCTCCTGTCCTCTCCCGGGCTCCGTCCCCTGCCTCCCGCCTCCTGTCCTCCCCCAGGCTCCGACCCCTGCCTCCCGCCTCCTGTCCTCTCCCCCGGGCTCCGTCCCCTGCCTCCCGCCTCCTGTCCTCTCCCGGGCTCCGTCCCCTGCCTCCCGCCTCCTGTCCTCTCCCGGGCTCCGTCCCCTGCCTCCCGCCTCCTGTCCTCTCCCGGGCTCCGTCCCCTGCCTCCCGCCTCCTGTCCTCTCCCGGGCTCCGTCCCCTGCCTCCCGCCTCCTGTCCTCCCCCAGGCTCCGACCCCTGCCTCCCGCCTCCTGTCCTCTCCCGGGCCCTGCCTCCCGCCTCCTGTCCTCCCCCAGGCTCCGACCCCTGCCTCCCGCCTCCTGTCCTCTCCCGGGCCCTGCCTCCCACCTCCTGTCCTCCCCCAGGCTCCGTCCCCTGCCTCCCGCCTCCTGTCCTCTCCCGGGCTCCGTCCCCTGCCTCCCACCTCCTGTCCTCTCCCCCAGGCTCCGTCCCCTGCCTCCCGCCTCCTGTCCTCTCCCGGGCTCCGTCCCCTGCCTCCCACCTCCTGTCCTCTCCCCCAGGCTCCAACCCCTGCCTCCCGCCTCCTGTCCTCTCCCGGGCCCTGCCTCCCACCTCCTGTCCTCCCCCAGGCTCCAACCCCTGCCTCCCACCTCCTGTCCTCCCCCAGGCTCCGTCCCCTGCCTCCCGCCTCCTGTCCTCTCCCCCAGGCTCCGACCCCTGCCTCCCGCCTCCTGTCCTCTCCCGGGCCCTGCCTCCCACCTCCTGTCCTCCCCCAGGCTCCAACCCCTGCCTCCCACCTCCTGTCCTCCCCCAGGCTCCGTCCCCTGCCTCCCGCCTCCTGTCCTCTCCCGGGCCACAGCCTCCAGCTCTGTGATTATGCTGCCGCTGCACCCTCTGGAGTTTCCCTTTCCCGACACGGTAGATCCGGCTGTCCTCACTCCTACCGGGGTCACTAAGGAGCAGCCTAGGGGCTTCTTGGCTCTGGTCTGCCCCTCCAATTTCTCCTCCCGATCCCTGACAGAATGATCTTTCCAAAAGGCAAATCCGCTCAGGCCTCTTCCTCCTTAAAACCGTTCAGGTCTCAAGTCCAAATCACTCAACGTGGATATAAAATACTTCATGGTCTGGTTTCTTTCTATTTCTGTCCTCCTCCTGAGCCCCGCCCCCAGTAGCTCCTTGCTCAAGTTACTCAGAACCGCTTGTGACTCTGGCAATGCATGCTCATGTTGGCAGCTCTGTGCCTTCAAATGCGCTCTATCTTCCCTAAGTGAACGCAGGGCACAGGTGTTCACCTCGGGTGACGTTTCCTCCCTGCCCTTTTTACCTTGGGGACCACGTCCATTCTCCACCTCCAGCTGTAACTGTTCACATACCTGTATCTCAGCTTATATCTTTATACTGAGGCCCCTCATCCACTCAACAATGCACATACTCGACGTTGTTGCTGAGCAAAATTAAACAGGAGGCACTGTCCTCATAGCAGAGTATCATGGGCATCGCAGAATATTACAAAGTATAGTAACATAAAAATCCCCAAAAAGGGGAAACTGAAGTTACAGTAAACACTATAAGACGAGAAATGTGGCCTGCAAGAGGCCACAAGCAGGGAATTTGACTTCAACAGTGTCAAGGAGGGTTCCCAGAATAAGGTTCTCCCAAGCTGTGACCTTAAAGCTGTGTGTAAATGACTTTGATGAAGAGAGCAAGAAGGGCCATTCTAGGAAGAAGGAAGCATGTGAAAGTATGGCTGAGGTAGGAGGATACGGATGGACCCGTAAGGTGCTCAGTGGGTGACGCCCTGGGGTCAGTGTGGGGAGCACTTTGGACAGTGTGGGGAGCACGGTGGACAATATAGGGAGTGTGGCAGTCTGTGGGGAGCACCACAGTGTGGGGAGCACTTTGGTTAGTGTGGGGAGCACAGCAGTCACCAGGGGAGCATAGCAGTCAGTGTGGGGAGAACTATAGTTAGTGTGAGGAGCACATTTGTCACTGTGGGGAGCACATTCGTCAGTGTGGGGAGCACATCGGACAGTGTGGGGAGCACAGCGGTCAGTGTGGGGAGCACAATGGTCAGTGTGGGAGAACAGTGGTCAGTGTGGGGAGTACAGCAGTCAGTGTGGGAGAACAGTGGTCAGTGTGGGGAGTACAGCGGTCAGTGTAGGGAGCATGATTGTCAGTGTGGGGAGCACAGTCGTCAGTGTGGGAGACACAGTGGACAGTGTGCAGAGAACAGAGAACAATAGGGAGCATGATGTGAATTAAGGCACTATAGGCAATGCAGAGATTATTTCACACCAGCTAAAAGGCTATGAAAAGCCAAAAGTGGATGAAAAGGGTAGGGATAAATACGGTGCCTTCTGTCCTCAATTACTCTGTCAGTATGATAAAATAGCCACTGGAGGGTGACATGGGTGATCTAAAAAGGCAAGATATGACTTGGGGATTGGTTGTTATCAGATTCTCCCTACTAAAGATGAATATAAAACGTCAGAGCTAAGAGGGATGGAAGAGACAAAATTCTTTTGGCTTGGTGATGGTTTGGCTGTGAAGGTAAGGGAGAGAGAACGTCATGAAGGAAGATTCGGAGTTTCTGGCTTACTCAGAAGAATTACATGTAACATGGAATAGCTTTAAGACAGGATGTTAGGTGCACTGAAGATGATTTTTACAAAGTGTGGGGGCTATGAGAATGCGTTTCCCGTATCCTATCTGTGACTGCAGGGAATGTAACTGACCTGGACCCGGCTCTGTGCTGTCAAATCTCCTTGCGTTCCTATGAGGCCATGCTCCCCCAGGGCTGCTCCCAGCAGTGACTGAATCTGTCAGTGCTATGAAACAGGTCCCCTCCTGGAGATGTGGGATTCTCTGACAGGCCACTGTGGCTCTAAGGCTCCTGTCAGCCCTGCCCAGCTCCCCTTAGAGATGCAGTGCAGGCCATGGTGTTTCATCCAGCTTCCTTCCTTCCCTCCCCTTCGCTGAGGTCAGACCCGAACCAGGTTACCGGCTCCCCACCCTCTCTTGGACTCCCTCCCTCCTCTCCCAGAGCCTTACCCTCCACTCCTCCTGCATGTTTCATCTTGTCTTGGCATTTACTACTCTGAGAACACCCATGTTAAACACAGCAACTCTCTAGCGACACTGGGAAATGATCTTAAGGTGATAGTTAGTAAAACACAGGGTATAAAACATTAGGTAGCATATGATAATATGCAAATGAAAATTCAGAGATTGAAAGATGCAAACTGGCAATTATTTTAACAGCTGGAGGTAAATTAAGACATTTCTATTAAACTGTAAACATGTGATTCAAGAAAATACTTTTAATGAAGCTAAGCAGATCACATAGGCTATGAGTCCTAAGCCTCTGAGAAAGAATACTGGCATGAAGTCTGCAGTGATGTGATGTCACAAATATTATAGGTGACAGCAAGCCACATTTTCTTGAGATAATGAGAAAAAGTCAAAGTTTAGCTAAGTCAACACTGATCCCAGGAGGTTTTAATGACCAATATATGCAGGAAATGTCCAAAAATTTATATACTTGAAAATTTTTAGCAAATATTTTATCTCTCTAGTAAACATTACTTTTAATTATATAAATAATAAACTTTACCAAAAAGTATGGAACTCCTCCCCCAACCAAAAAAAAAAAAAAAACCCACCAAGATGATACTTGTTGTCATACTGCAATGAATTTTGCAAGCATGGGGAATTCTTGCTCACCGTTTTGACACGTGAGTATGTTTTACATAGGTTTAATTTTGGAATATACCATTTTATATACAGTGGGGTTTTGTTTGTCTTTTAACCTAGAATATTGTCTGAAGTATTTTTACATTTCTAGTCTGCAAAATTGTAATATATCTTATCAAGTGAATTTAGTATTATTTAACTATTACCTATGATGGCTATTAGGGCTGCTTTGAAATTTCATTCTAAAAATGAAACTTTTCACATAGTTTACCTTCATTTACATCATTTCCTCTAGAACCCAAGATGTGAGATTATTTGACAAAGAGTACATCAGCTTTATAACGCTACAATAGTAGATAGACTCAACTTGGATTAATAAACAAAACTACTTACACAAGGATGAGGTAAAACAGTACACTAAAAAATAATCATAACAGCATCATAATGGACTTCTGCTTCTAGCCATAATGGAGTCACTGGTACTGAACTAGCCTTCATGTTATATAAATAACCATAAACTGGAGAAAATACAAGAAATAACCATTTTAAGATGTTGAACAGCAGACAATGAAGAATCGTGATCAATAAGAAATGAAAAACACCAAGTGTTAATGGTGACAGCTTATAAAAATGTTATATTCAACAAAAGGGAATGCTTATGCAATTGAAAATTCACCTAGGTCACTGAATGTTATGCAGCCTCAAAAATGATGTTAATAAGGGGGTTCTAATAACTAGTGTGGGAGAGACCAATTGTTCAGACAGTTTCCCTTTTCTGTGGAGGGAGGTACGCAGCTGGACTGTATTTCCCAGCCTCCTCTGAAGCTATTCATGGCTATATGATTGGCAGATTTCTGATCAACGAAAAGTAAATGAAAGTGAAGAATGTAATTTCTAGCCTGGGACCATAAACATCCCTCATAATGGTCTACATATTCTCTTCCCACATCTGTGGAAAAAGGACACGGGAGAGGATTCAGGAGGAGAATCAAAGTAACTTAGGTCCCTGAATGACTGCCTGGAGCAGAGGCCTGTCCATGACACACTAGACTGACAGGCGAGTGACAGGTGATCATTCCTATGACAAGCCACTGAGATTCAGAGGATTTTTTTTGCTATGGCAGTTAGCATAAACTGCCATACCTGAAAAAATACTTATGTTGATATAAAATTATGTAACAATAAGTCAACTAAGATAGGAAAGAATAGTGTGGAAGAAAATATGCCAAAATATTAACATTGGTTCCTTCTGGTTGAAATCTCTCTTCCTCCTTGCCTACATTTTTCTATATTATCTAATTTTTCTAAAATAAATATGACATATCTTTTAATAAGAAAATACTCTTTATTTTCTCTACCTTGACTCTTTGTATTTATTTTCAAAATCACCTAAAACTTATTTAAGCATGTGGCAAAGGGAATGCTAACGACCTCTTGTTTCCTTCCAAGTCATTATCCTGTTTCCAGATGCCTTTGACGACGGTTTAGCCTTCCTTGCTGTTGTGTGACGCCCCCGTAGTTTTTAAAACCTGTGGTGAGGTTTGTGACTAGCCGATGTGTATATACTCCTTCAGAGATAACTGAAGTTTGCCCCAGTTCTGTTTCCTTTCTAAAATCTGTTGAAACCTAATTGAGATAAGTCCTCCTTTTATTAACTTATTGGAAAATGTCATTTGATTTCTTTGCTCGTTAATTTTTCCAGATAAATTGTCAGGATTATTCTGTCAAATCCAACGAAAAATTATGAGATTTTATTTTGCTCTTGCTTAAAAGACGTCGATTACTTGCATCCCATCCTCTGTTACTAGCATTGTGAATTCACCTTTTATGTCTCCCTTTTTTTGATAACTAGTATTCTATTATTTGCCAATTCTATCTCCTCTTCCACCATCTTTCCACTCCAACTCCTTATCATGTAATGTGTGGATTGTTGAGACAGCTCTTAGAGTCCTTCAGCATGCAAGCTGATGACAACCCAAATACTCTTTATCAGCACCTCATGTTACATATATACTCAGTGTTCTTTAATAAAATACTTGATTCACAAAATGTGGTGCCTAAAACATAGAGCTTAATAAACATTAATTTCCTTCTTTATCATCTCCCCAACTATCTACACAGGACAACGAGCTACCTCAGATTGCCAGTCTGGGTTCCTCACAGTCCAGCCTCTGCCTTTCCACTTAATCTTATCTCACATTATTCCCTTCAGATTACATCCAACTATTTACATTTCCATCTCTGAATCAGCTCAACCGTTGTTAAAAATTACTTAAATTTTCATTAAAGAAATGTATGAGTCTTTAACATTTAGCTTCAATAGTTTTAGTACTATAATAGAAAGAAGGGACTGGATATAGCAGACCTAAGTTCTAGCTCTATTAGGGCTACTCACAGGCTTTGTAACATTGTGAAAAATCCCCAAACTAATATCTGAATATTAATTTTATACGTGAAGACAGAAAGATGGTCTAGAAGTTTTCTGGTTTTCTTCTCAATATTCTGGAATACTTTGTTCATGATAATCTTTGAATAAAATTTTACAGCACAATTTGTAAGAATTATTTTGCATGAACCCATCCCCTATACGGCAAGAAAACACTTTTTAAAATCAAATGAAAAATACAAAAAAAAAAAACCAAGAAGAGATGTGACTAAAAGAGAAAGATTGAAGGCATAAAAATAATTATATCCAGAGAAATGAAGCAGACAGAAGTATAAGATAATGAATCTTCATCCTAAATGACATCGCGCTCTTCCTCCACCTCCACTCTTTAGCACTTTTGAGTAGCAGAAAGGGACTGCATGATGTAAAAGTGGTAGAAACCAGAAAGCGGAATCCCTCAGCCTGAGCGATCATGGAAAGCGGAAGAGGAAAGAAAGGGAAATGTTCAGATGAGTGTTCCTACCTCACCCCTCTGGGCCAATGCATCACGCAACAGTTATGAATACTGAGGAGAACTGCAAGAGAAGGAGGCTTCTGCCTCTCTGAAATCAGCCCTCTGACTACCCCTGTACCAAGCTAGATCCAGGAAATGAAAACATAACCCAATTGAGAAAAAGAAAGAGGAGAAAGCCTAAGTTATAAAGATTTATAAATTGAAAGAAATAATGAAAATTCAAAGGAATAAAGAGAAAAAGTAATTATTTCTCTTTCCCATTCAAAATACTGCACAATGAATGTATTATTACCAAAAAGAAATAAAAAAATATACAAAAATCATGTTAAAGTCAAATATAACCTGAAAGCCATGCAAAAATATATCAGAATTCAAGATATAGGGCAGAGAAGTATTTAATAACAGTAAAGCAAAAGGAGACAGAGCAGGATCTGGGATGGAAAATCGACCAAAACAAAAGAAAAGAGAGGAAGAAAAAGTTATTTTTAATCACTTTTTCCCACTGGAAAGAATAATTTTACTTACGAACTTCACAGAAATCATATAATACTTTTCACTACAATTTGTAACAGAAGACCTGAAAACAGTTGAAAAGTTGGAGTAAGTTATTATTTTTTGTTGAATTGTGTCCAGTGTTAGAATGTAACACCCAAGTTAATTTTCATTTCCTCAACAACAAGTTCACACAGATGACAGCAGATAATTTAAAAAAGCATATGCTACCTGTGTAATCTATAACACCACACAGCAAAAAACACAGACTTTCTCTGCTTAGGATAGAATTTCACAAACCCCTGGGTTTTTCTTTGTCAAGATGCATGATCAAACATGCATTTTAAGATATATAATTAAATAAATATTTGTAAAATAAATTTATGGTTGAAAATTGCAGATATTTTAACATTTACTATTTGCTATTTGTTTATCTTCTTATGCTTGAAGGTGTGTATCAAAGAATGATTTCCTAGTATGTTCCAGTGACTCAAGACAGTGCCTCCCTCGCTATTACTCAATTACAAATAGCAATAAAAAGAGTCGGCAGAAAGACCAGATCATATTATATCTTCTTTTTAGAAATGGAATTCGCTTTAAATAATTATGAAAGGATGACAAGTGGCAAACGGAATATAATTTAATGTAAAGATTCTCTTTTGTAATACTTCATGTGTATTTTGCATATTAAATCAGACAGGAATAACTGATGAAACAATGCTTTATTGAATAGGCATTTCTTAAGCATATTCATCATCAGAAAAGAAAGACTAAGATAATGAAAAAATAATACAGTTTAGCTTGTATAATTTATTCCAAGCATCAGACAATGGAAGGAAATGGGAAAATGAAAAAGAATAATCAAAAAAGCATTGAGTTAAGTACTTGAAACAGGGCTGAATGATGCCAAGCAGTACAGTTAAAATATAAGTAAGCATGTGCATCTAAGTTA